ACCCCACTTCCATAACTCAACACCACACTAGACCTAAGCACCTCAAAGAGGACCTTGTCTAATTTATCTATGTGGTCCCAGAGCCTATCACAGTGCTTGACTGATAGGAGGTGCTCAATAAAGTGACCTGTTCCTATACTTCAGTTATCCACATCCAAGGTGTTTTCATTGCCCTGAAACTACTCCACCTCTACAATCTTAAATTTGTATATCACACTCTTTGGCTATTTTTTTTCCACTGAGGACTTTTACTTCTTTCACTTCGCTACTCCTATTCTTTGATCTCTTGATTTCTCCCAATTTGTCAGTCTCTTCAAGCATAATTATCTTCTCTTATAGGTCTGGGCCCTACAGTCTGTATTTCAGCCACTATCCTCTCCATAACTTTAACTTAAGTCCATAATTTTAACTTAACTACATTTACATTTTGACTTGATGACACCTGAAAATTCATGATCTCCTGCTTCATGAGAATTCTCAGTGTCCCACAATTTTTTATTGAGTTTCCCAGCTTCTGCTCTTGTCTCCTCCTATATCCTAAGAGATGTAACTTCTGAATCTTCACCCCTTCCCTCTATGATGGTTCTTTCTCCTCTATACAACAATATGCTCATATCTCTCATCATTCAAGAAGCAGTCCCTCAATCTTCCTTCTCTGACAGTCTCTCTCTATTTTGCTTCTTAACCAAGCTTTTTAAACAAATAGTCTATATTCCCTTTCCTCATATCCTCTTCCCATGCTCAACCCTCAACAAATTACAATCTGGTTCTGTTTCCTGGGTAGGTCCTCTCCTATCTCTGTTTGTACCTCTGTAATAAAACCTATCTCCCAATTGTAACCACACTAGACCTAAGCACCTCAAAGAGGACCTTGTCTAATTTATCTATGTGGTCCCAGAGCCTAGCACAGTGCTTGATTGATAGGAGGTGCTCAATAAACGAATTACGTTACAAACACTTACTGAACACCTACTAGGAACCAAGCACTATATCGGCTCTGTTAGAATCCACAACACTTAGACCCGAATCTGTCATCAAATCTGTACCAAAGCATGCTTATTCTCATACTAACTTTCTCCCCTTTGTGAATGTGAAGTTAGTCAATTAAATGAAATCACATAACTCTTGCCCTGTGCTATGTCATTCAAATTTTGTGGAATGAATATCTGATAGATCTCAGCAGACCCAAAAAGACTACTTATGAAGAGCTACTGTTGGGAATGGCTACAGAGAGGCCTGTTCTGGGGTCTGTGAACTTATAAAGAGCTTTTCAGGTTTTCAGAACCATTTATGAACAGTTCTATAGAAATACATTTTTACAACTTTATTTCAACATAGCTGATAGTTTTGCTAAGCCTACTTATGACCATTTCCTTTCTCTTTTCTCTCCAGGCTTCTTTTCCTCCACCTACAAACAACTGTAAAAGTCTCTTTTTGTTACAATTCAAGTAAATATTTTTAGGTATGAAGAAATACCTAAATTAGAAACCCTCTCTTGACACAAAGTTACCACTTTACCTAACATTCTTCCTTTCTCCACTAACAATATGTACTTGCTGGTTCCATTTCTTTCTTCCCACTGGCTCCCACAACAGGTGATTGGAAAGGATAGGATGTGGGTTAGAATGGTTGCAGAAAAGCTTTATGAACATATAAGGACATAGGACACAAGGGACATTTTGTCATTAAAGTACAGGAGATGGAAATATAATGGGTGCATATGAGGTTCTTCTATTTTATGTTTGATCTGTTTTGTGATTCTCTTTTTTGAAGTAGGTAACATATACATGCCACACAGTTCAACAGGTACAAAATGAAAATTGTGTTCTTCCCAATTTGATCAGGTCTCTTCTCTAGATGCAATCACTACAAAGTTTCTTGTGTATTCTACAAAGATAGTGTATGCATCTACAAATTACATATATATACATTATATAATTATATAGAATTAAATTTGTATATGTATATGAGAGAGAGAAAAAATCTCTATTCACTATAGTGGAAGAAAACAGGATGTACCCTCACTGGGGAGGTGTTGAAAAATTAGAGAATGTTATCTTTTCCCAAAAAATAATCTTTTGAGTCCCCACCTCCTTTAATATCCTTTCCATCCTCCAGGTTGCCCAGACTCCAAAGTTTGGGGTATCCCCCATTGGCAATGGACAGAGCACTATCATAGCCCTTGTTTCATCTAACTTTGGCACAACCCTATGAACTAAGAATCTCAATGGTTATCTGTGCATTCAAGTTAAAGCCAACTAATAATCTCTGCCCTTGTGCTGCAGCTATTTCCAATTTTATTTTCCCATTGTAGGTACTACTTGCTACATCTACTACCCCACCACCATTTAGGTCCTCATTACTTCTCCTCTGCAAAATTAGAATAATTGCCTACTTCACAGGATTGTTAAGTATATTAGTTAAAATTAAAAGACCAAATATTTATTTTTCTTTCTCTCCTCAAAATCTACCCATTACCCCACCACCCTTAATCCATTTTCCACATTACATACCTGATTCATCAAAATGCTATAGAATTCTTGAAATGTTTTTGTGTTTCTATCCTCTATTGATCTTAAGAACAGAGCATAAGAATATGACAACTTACCTGAACTCTGAGAAAAAGCACTACAAAATTCCAGGTATTGTCATTCCAAAGGAGAATCACTTTCAGTGCACTGATCTTATAGTCAGTCAAGAGTAACATCATTAACATTTAAAAGCTAAGAAGGTCAAGAACTATCCTGAAATTTTCACCTAAAAGTCTACAAATCCTTCATGACTCAGTTTGAATGTCATTTTCTTCTTAAAGCTTTCCAAAATCCTGCCCACCTTACTTATTTTCACACAAGCATATATGGATCATTCCTTTCTCTGCATTACTAAAGTAGGGAAGACAGGGAGAAAGGAAACATGTACCAAATGCTGCTCTTCCTGGTCTGGTCCATCCCAGTAGTACCCTGTTTCCTCTTCTGACCTATTGTCCTACCTCCTAAAATATGCCTAACTGAATAAGATAAAAAGGATGGTTACCAAGAAGCAGACTAGGGGACCCCCCTCGACTTGTAAAAAGTTAAAGACACATGCAATAAAATGTGCTTTGCTCTCCAATAAACATTTATTCTCAAGTTCATTTATTTTGTGTATATAATTTTAGCATAGTTCCATTTTATCATATATCTTATAATGTGCTTTATTTCAATTAAATCATGAATTTTCTACATGCAATGCATTAACTGTTCTTTAAAGTATCTTTAATAGTTTTATAAATCTTTCATCCTGCCTCCATCCATAATATATTCGTTCTCCTATTCTTAAGCATTCCTATTTTGATTCCCATTTTTGTTTTTACAAATAATGTTATATTGAAGGCACATAAATCTTCATCTGAATCTCTCTTTCCTCTGGAGACATTCATAGAGTTGAATTTCTGAGTCATGAGATATTAACCTTTTTAGAGTTGTTGATACAAACCACCAGACTACTTCCTAAAACAAAGTACTGATTTAATCTACCAGCAGTGTGCAAGAATGACCACCTCATTGCACTCTCCCCAGGAGAGTATTAAGTCTTTTCTATGTTTTTCTAATTTGATAGGCAACAATAATGACATGCCCATTGCTACTTCAATTTTATTTTCTTTATTAATACAAAAATGGAAGAGTTTTTTAAAAATGTTAATATGCATTGGGTTTTTGTTCTGCAAATTACCTTTATATTTCCTTTGCCAATTTTTAATTGAGATTTACTGTTTTCTTATCACTGTATATGTATTTTATATATTCAGTATGTTAGATGGTAATATAATCATATACAGTTAATAATACAATTATATACAGTATATAATTATATCCAATTGAGTCTTGTTATTCGTAATTGATATGTTTAAATAAATCGCAGCAAACACTAAATTAGTAAATCCTGAGCCATAACCCTGGGGAAATGCAGAATGAGTTTTCTGTGAGCCTCTGGTCACCTTTTCATTAACCAGTTGATATATAACCTTGTTCATGTGTGTTTCTGTTTAAAGGCATCTCATTTAGTGTATATTGTAAGTATGGCAATTGTAAGTATGGCATGGCAATGCTCACCTGTAATCCCAGATACTTAGCCAGCTAGAGCAGGAGGATTGGGAGGTTCAAGACCATCCTGGGTAGCACAAGACCTCATCTCAAATAATAACAATAACAATAACAATATATTGTTGATCCATTAACATTGAAATCATAGACAATAGCACTATAACTTATGCCTGAAACTTCTTGAACACATGTAGTTTCTCTAAAAGCCTTCCTAAGATTAGAAATACCAGATCGTACTACATTTGGGATGGACATTTTAAGCAGCAAAATCAAAAAATATGTGGGAAAACATAGTGCTAATCAGACTGTGCAAAGGTTACTTATTTACAATATGAAAGCTGAAACAAAAAGGCAGAAGTGGGCCTCAGCTAGAGATACGCACAGTGGGTAAAGCAAATATTTTGCCACTTTGTAAATATCGATGAGTGACAAGGAAACTGTTATGAGTATTGATCTTGGGTTTACAAATAAATTTAGTGAGCAGACCAGCTTGCAAATATGGAATCCATGAAGGAGGACTGACTGTATTTATCATATTATTGACCAATTGTCCAGTCTATTTTTCTTTAATTTTGTTCGTGTTTTTAGATTTACAGGCTTTCATTTTTATTTCTTCAAATATATAATCCCTTTCCTTTGTTATATCATGTATTACTTAAGCCTATCCAGAGACGAACCATGTATCTACCCACATTTTCTTCTATTCTTAAGGCTTTAGTATTCTGCAAAATATCTATTTAATACACATGAAATTTAGTTTTATAGATGATGTATCATAGCAAGCCTGTCATCAATCAATGTCTTGACCACTCTTTATCATTCTTGTTCCCCATTAAATACATCTAAATACAGATGAACCAGTTTCACAACATCTAAGTAACTTCCAAAACATGGAAATGTGAGGGAAAAAGATCTTACCTTTTCCATAAAATCCAGATGTTGGAAATCAGGAAATGAAATGGAGCTGCAGATATCCTACAGCCACTTTCTGGCTACATTCTGCAGTGAAGCAGGGCAGCATGGGGCTAGTCATTGCCAGGGATGAAGATGGACAGGATGCAGTTCTCTCCACATGGATAATAGTTCCCAGAGCATTGTCAAGGACAACCTGCATCAGAATCACCTGAAGTGCCTCACTGTAGACCTATTGAATCAGAATATTGGTGACCGAGAGCCCACAATCTGAATTTGTTTTTTTAGGTTTGAAAAATTGTGTTATAATATGCATGACAGAAAATTTACCATCTTAACCCTGTTTGAGCATTCAGTGGCATTTAGTACTTCTCTTTGTTCTGCAGCCATCACCACCACCTAACAGCAGAATGTTTTCATCTTACCAAACTGAAATGGAACCCATCAACTTGATTCAGTATCTTCCATCCTCCCGCCTCTAGTAACCACTATCTTACTGTCTATCTCTTTGAGGTTGACTGTTCTGGGTAGCTCACATAAGGAGAATCATGCAATATTTGTCTTTTTGTGTAAAATCAGGATTTTGGTGGTTGGGGAGTACCAGGAATTGAACTCAGGGGCACTCAACCACTGAGCCACATCCCCAGCCCTATTTTTTATTTTTTGGTGTCTGTCTCACCACCGACTCACATATATTGTTAACTACCTCCGAAGTCTTTTAGCAGGTACTTCTGATAAGTCCTATTATTTGCTCCCAATCATTATGAAATAGTGATGGTATGTGACAGTGAGTGTCAAATGTTAAAGTGCTTTAAACTTCCCCTGGGAGAGTTGTTAAAAATACAGATTCTTGGCTAATCCATATTTTGTATCATTTGTATCAGGGTCTCACTGAGTCGCTTAGCACCTCACTTTTGCTGAGGCTGGCTTTGAACTCACAATCATTCTGTCTCAGCCTCCCGAGCTGCTGGGATTACAGGCATGTGCCACTGTGCCCAGTAAAATCAAGAATTTTTTAATGGAGCAAATAGTAGGTGCTAAAGCAAATCTCTGTCCCAATATGTGACATCCTTAATCACTATTTTAGTAAATTTAGCAATGTACCAAAGACCTCTGACAATCCCAAGAGCCTTTTAGGTGACCCATAGGGTCAAAATGATCTGCTACTAAAAAGTTAATTGATTTTTTTCACTCTAATTCTCTCAGGAGTGAAATTTTCCTGAGGCTGTATGATGTGTGATATGGCTAAAGAGTGAAAAAAGGAGATATGAGAATCCAGCTCTTTTACTAAGTAAGACATTGAACACAATTTTTAAAGGTGAAACAACTCCACTTATAAAATATATTTCCTTTGGAAAAATACAATTATTTTCCATTAAAAGATGTATACTTATATTAACACATTTTGGAGTTTATTGCTGTTATTCTAGAATCAGGAATTTTTTAAAGTCTGTTTTAGATTCTAACAAGGTAAATATCAATAGACGTAATTAAAATAAACATAAGCCTTTGAGAACCTGAAAAAAAAAGTCTAAACTGTAAAAAGATTGCAAAACAAACTTAGAGAATGGCCATATTATGTTAACCTTTTTTTCAATAAAAGAAGTTCAGGTGATTGGTATAATGTCAACAATATAAAATAAAATGATACAAAATATGGATTAGCCCAGAATCTGTATTTTTAACAACTCTCCCAGGTGAAGTTTAAAGCACTTTAACATTTGACACTCACTACCATATACCATCACTATTTTATAATGATTGAGAGCAAATAATAGGACTTATCAGTAGTACCTGCTAAGAGACTTCAGAGGGTTAGTTAACAATATATGTGAGTCGGTGGTGAGACAGACACCAAAAACAAACTAGTGAAACCCTGTGACATATCAATAAAAGTATAGTATCCATAATAAAGGAGGTGATGGTCTTATTCTGTCTCTACCCCATAATAGTAGTACTATGTTTAGGTTTAAAGCACCACACATCAATGATGACAAAACCAAAACATGATATGTCCTTAAAAGGACAACTTAACTGATGAAGAGGCTGGAATCTAAGACAAATGCAGAAGTATCAAAGATGGTCAACCTAGAGGTTAATACTAGGTGCAGCAAACTTAGAGAACTGAACAATCTGGATAACATGGTTATCAATCTCAAATACCTGAAGGGCTATCATGTGGAAGAGATCCCTCCACCTAGATAACGTCAACCTTGCATGTGGCTTTACATATCTTCCCATTGCCTGTTAATCCTCAGATCTGTATACCCAGGTAGGGTTGCTCTTCTGAGCTTCATCCTCCCTGGATCTGTCCACCTGGACTTCACACAGACACCTCAAACTTCACAGGACTACAAACAAGCAATCATTTCCATTTCTATAAGTAAAGAATTTGAGGCTCAAAGAAGTTAAACACTTTCCCCTGGGTTCCAGTAAGGAATTTCAATCCCGTGTGACCAACTCTAAAGCTTATGCTCTTCCCATTTGTATTATGCTGACCTCTCTAATGGAGAGAAAAAAAGAAACCACAATATTACACATCTATCTTGCAGCTCTGAAACAGAGTAGCAAGTTTTACAGGGGAATGGGGCCTTCCTGAAAAAGAAATCTCTAAAAGGCTCTAATCTGAATTTTCTAGATTACATTTTAAAAAGTAAATTTCTGGCAGTATCAGGGACAACATTATTAATTAGAAAAGTTGGAGAAGTCCCTGTCCCTCTCAAAACCAGTTTCCTGATCTTTAAAATAATAAAAAAAAAAGAGGATCTCTATGTCCTCTTACAGATGTGCCATTCTGAGAGTCTATGGAAGACAGTGTTCTGTATAAGGTACAGACACTCTGAATAAACACTCATGCCATTTAGCCTGTGTAATAGCTCAGCTGCAGTCCAACACCATCCTCCAGGACCTGCTGGACTAGAGGCTGATCATATATCTTCATGATATTCTCATCTACTCCAGGCACCCAGCCCAGCATGACGCACTTGTCCACACAGTCCTGACTCGCCTCTGGCAATACCAGTGCTTTACTCAACTGGAGAAGTGATCAGGTAAAAGTAAAAATTCTGTGACATATATCCCTATGGAAGGTTCTCACGTGTGCCCCCAAGGTTAGTTATTAGTGGCTTGACCTTGGGCAAGTCACTTACTCTCTCCAAGCCTCAGTTTTCTCAACTGTAAAAAGGAGGTGTGGCTAATAATATATAATTCACCCAGTTGTGATGGAAATTAAGAAATAATGTGTGTAAAAGCACCAGGCATATGCAGGGTACTTGGTAAATGTTTCCTTTCTTCACCATCATTCTTGGCTGGGGCACACCAGACAACCCAAGTTTTTCCTTTCTTTTTTTTTTTTTTTTTTTGGACCCACTAGTTATTATCAAGGTTCACTCTATACCTCTCTTTCCTGATGATACCTTCTCTATCAATCAAACAAAAAACACTCAAGAAATGCTCAGGGTAATTCTCAATCTACTGAATTGGGGGATTAAGACTGCATTTGAAGTCTTATAGGATACTAAAATCGGTAATATACATAGTCAACTAGCTTCCGCTTAAATGCTTCCAATGAAAAGGAGCTAATTCTCTTGTAACAGCTCATTTCATCTTTAGTCAGCTCTGCTGCAGCTTCCACTCAGTAATGTTAATCCTGTTCCTTGGCATCAAACCATACAGATAAAATCCTCTTTCTCATGACAAACCTAAAGGTACAGGAAGATAGCAATTAATTCACCCTCCAGGCTTCTCTTCTTAATATCTATTCTATCTTTGTCCCTCTCTAAAAGACAGCTGCCATAACAGAGTACAAGACTTGATGTATGGTTCTACAAGCTCAGAAAAGAGCAGAATAATCACCTCCTTCATTCTTGAATCTATGCTATTATTAACACAACCTAAGTTTCCATTAACTTTTATGGCAGCCATATTAAACATGTACCCATCCTATAAAGTTGCAAATTTTCAATTTGTTTCATGAAACTAAAACAAGATGCCACGTTTATTCTCAAATTTATTTTGTTGGTTTTGGAATACCTTCTTAGATTCCTGGTTCTACTATGCAGCATTTTATTCTCCTCCCATTCCAGTTCTCTCTTAACACTTGATGACCATACTTTTCTACATGTCTATCCAACACATTAATTACAATGTTGAAATCATCAAGCACAAGACACAGAAGCCCTACAGCCTACACCAAGGACCTCTCTTTACAACGGCTAAGCTGTACCTTTTTCCAATCTTATTATGTGTGAGAGACCTAACAACCACCCATTCACATCAATCACAGGGCTCACAAAATGTCAGAGGTACCAAGGAGGGGTAAGCCTCCTAAAAGAGAAACTAAAATGGGGAAAAGGCCTGTGTACTTTGGAAAAACTGTATCCAAGTAATTCTTTTGATTTCTCCAAAGAATGTGCCCTTATCATCCATACTTCATAAAAAGTCCTACTTCCAGGGAAACAAAATCAATAATTTACACCATTTGTAAATGGTTCCCTTATAGGTATGATGGCATTAATAATATGCAATTCATAGGACTGTTATGAGGATTAAATGAATAACACAAAAGTACTTAGCACAATGCCTGGTACATAGTAAGTGCTCAATAAAAGTAGTACATTCTTTTAAAATGCCTATTTCAGAATCCAAATAAAGGAAAATGTTCCAGCTCATGCTTCTTCCATCTTGTTCACCAGAATGTCATTTTAAAAAAAATCTTTGTCATGTTCCTTGCTGCAATATAGGTATATTGTAACCATTACCTACCTGCACCTATTAATCAAGTGACCCTTTCAAAAAAAGGTCATGTTAGCTTTCTGCTAATTAAAACTAATAATTTTTTTAAAAAGTAAAAAAAAAGTCATGTTTCCCAGCCCACAAATCTGAGCATAGGACACAGCTTCCTAATGGGGCTATTTCAGACAAAAATATAGTGAAATTTAAATTTTTCAAGCTGAGGCTCTACTGCCTAATCTGGCTCCCATCCTCCTCATTTATGAATGGCAGAAACTGAATCTCCACATTCTTAAAGGCCCATCTCATTGCCTTTCTACCTGATGCTATTATTTTCAGGGAGGGCAACAGAATCCCGGTGAGGTAATACAGGCTTGTCTTGCAATAAGATAGCTCCAGTATGTCTATGGCCAAAGAAGAGACTGTAATAACCAACCATGTTCACACCTATATTTCTGACATAATCCACACCATCACCTCCCACCTCCACAACTTGGGTCACTGTGTTCTATGATGCTGCATACCACACGTCAGGACTTCTGGGAGCCAAGGTCCAGGGTGAAGTAGGGCAAGAATTGAATCTGGAATCAGAGAGTTCTTTGAGTCTGCAATGCTGGAAGACATTTTATACTGTGGCTTTTGTATGTGCTACTTTAATGATAATCAACAAGCATATCACTATAAAAACAACAATCTTTCATGTTACAGTTATAAAGCATTTCAATGAAAAATTTCTCCTGCATTCTTCAATATAGTTCAAGTAGCATCATTTGGATGAAAGTCTGCTGAAATTTAAAAAGAAATTATTTTTATCAACATAAATTATGCACTGCCCCCTACACACACACACACACACACACACATACATACATACACACACACACACACACATAATCCCTATCACAAAATTCAGTTTAATCAAACAAAAATGCTGCATAGCAGCTACTTTGCTCCAAAAGGTATTAAACTCTAAGGTTCTTATCTTTTAGGGCAGATGACATTAACATTGTTTTACAAATAAGAAAATCAAGTCTCTGAGAGTTTAAATAATTTGCTCAAAGTCCATATGGCAAAATAGCAGTGCCAGACTCCAAGGCTGATTATCTGACTCGAGATCTTTTGATTTTTTTTCTACCTCAACATTTGGAGGTGCCATTCAACTGTCTTGACTAAAATGGCCGCCATCCTCCCTCATGAGCCAAATAGTCAGTGGCTAACTGAAGCCATCGTCCTAAAAGACAGTTCAAAAACAGGCTCCTAAGCCATGTTCTCTCACAAAAGGATCAGATTCCCTCTCAGACAGCCAAGTTTTTATGTCATTCTAGGAAACCTTTCCTTTTCACCTTACAGGTAAACAGTCACAGAGCCACATCCTTCTGCAGAAAAGATATTGAGACATAATGCACCAAACAGAGCTTCAACCCCACCCTCAATCTTGCAGCATTATGTCACTCGTCATCAAAGCATCTGGCCTGCCCACTGTCCCACTGCAGAGATTTTACACAAATTCAAAATGCTGCAGTGTATGAAAATTTCATTTTTCATATTCCATGTTTTCCAGCCCCCTACCCTTCACACTGCAGTGCCCACAAAGAACAGAAACACAACCACCTGGGAGAAATCCAGATAACATAGTCCAGTTTCTTCATCAGGCCACAAGCCACAAAGAGATAGATAACCAATCCCACCATTGAGAGATCAGATACTGTTCTCTATCTATCACTTTCTCTTACCTATATTTCTAAAGAATTGTAAAGTGAACCCCTCACCTCAATTTTAATGAATTGACTCGTTTCCTTATGGCTTACCTATTTGAATTAGCTCTTTTGTTCAAGATTGACCTATCCCTCCTTCCAACTTAAATAATATCCCTAAAAAACTGAACAATATCATGACCATCCACAGTTAAAGGAATGGGAAAGTTGTGATTCATGCTTTGGGACTTTATACATTTCAGCCTGAGGTGAGGCCAGACACAAAGAATGGCCCCAGGAGCTGGCTTGCAGAGCCAGGGATCACTGGGGCTACATAGGACCAAGTATGAACTCCAGTCTGATGAGACTACTGGATGGTGTCAGCACCCATACTATTTCCCAGACAAACCAAGACAGAGCCCCAAACCCTGCACTTCTTCCTCGAAATGGCCTCTTGTCTCTCAAAATAAATAAATAAATAAATAAACTTTGGGTAAAACTAACCTCTTCGGAACCTTCCCTGAATCTACCCTAGCTCCTTTATTTTTGTGTTTCCTTATTTAATCTGTTTTATTTCCTAGGTCTCAGCTCAGTTTCAACTTCTGTAAGTACCTGGTTCCTTGCTTTGGCTTGAATCAGCATAGTCTTCAGCCATCTTCCTGGGTTTACCGACCTCAGGCTCCAGCTCTGCAGAATTAGCTTTCAACTGGTCAAAATCGATTTCAACTGGTCAGAGCTGATTTTTTCTTGTCACAAAAGATTTGAACTAATCAGGAGCAACTTCTGACCAGTTAGAAACCCATTGGGGCCAGTTTTACATTGCTAATGCAGGAGCAAGCCACTGAGGGGAACAGGATGAATCAGGAATGAGATGAAGCTGCTTCAAACCTGCTTAGAAGACCAGTGGGGGGGACAAAAAGGACCTGATGCTAAGGACCATACCATTTGTGGTGGTGATGCTGGAGGGGAAATCAGAAAGGACCTAACAGTCCATGAGGTAGGATCAAACCACTGTGGACCCCGGGGGAGGGGCTAAAAGAAACTGATGCTCAATGACGCAGGATCAAATCATTGGTGCGAAACAGGAGGGGGAAAGATGCTGATGCTCTCCAGGCAGGATCAAACCACTGAGATGCACAGGGGGCTGCACAGGGATGCTTTGCTATACGGTGCCATCAAAGCGCTCTGGGATGGGGATCGATAAGTAAGAAGAAGAGGGAAGAGTAAGAATATAAGGGCCTAGTAAGTAATCTGTAAGTCAGGGTCAAACCACTGTGGAGGATTGGCAGAAAGGGGATGCTGTTCTAAGAAACCGGACCAAACCACTGTAGAAGGGAGGGGAGCAAAAAGGAGTTGAAATTTCTTAAAGCAAATTTAAATTCCTGATAGTAAAGGAAAGGGATATGACACTCTGTAAGACAGAATCGAACCTTGTTTTTATAATTAATAAATGGCATTTACATACATTATCTCATTTGCTCTACACTCTGCCCTAATGTCTGGGTCAGACCATCTTTCCACAAAGACCCCTCTGCAGAAATTCTCGGCTGCCCCTGATGGTTGCTAGGCAACAGTGCAGCAGCTATCCAATGAACCTTACCCTTTTGACATTAACCCTTGCATTTCTGGAAGGACAATAAGGGGTACAAAAATGAAAAACTGGGGAGTAAATACCATTCATCAAATGGTAGGTGGGGAGGAGTGAAAGACAAATACATAGACTTTCAAAAATAAAAGGGAAACAGCAAGTAATTGGAAACTGATGGCTATAGGGAGGAAGCAACACGCTGACAACCATGGTCCAACAGACTTAGCATCAATTTGAATCTCCCATAAGACCTCTGAGTCTTCCTATGAGACTACTAACCAGAGGTCTTTGAATACTTTTGGTGAAAACGTGGTAGATCTGACTTCCCAGGCAACATATCCCATTTTCATACGATGCTCATTTTTTTAATTTGAGCCCAAATTTCTCCCCTATAATTTCCATACAGTAGTCTGAGTCTGTCTTCTAGAGTAGGGGTTGGCAAACTAGAGCTTGCAAGCCATATTCAACCCAATGCCATTTTTTTTTGTGCAGAGTATGAACTGAGAATGATTTTTATATTTTCAAATGGTTGAAAAAAACACCAAGAATAATATTTTGTGACAGGTGAAGACTGATATGAAAATCAAATTTCAGTCCCTAAATAATTGTGTTAGAACACAGCCACACTTAGGCATTGATGACAGTATGAGTCTCAAAGCCTAAACTATTTACTATCTGGGCCTTTAGAGAATAAGTTTGCTGATCCCTGATCTAGAGCTACAAAGAATCAGTTTTCAATAGGACTTTGATTAACTAGGAATATAATGGGAATAGTAGACATGAAAGAAAGTAAAGAGCTCACAGCAAATGCTAAATTTTCAAAAGGAAAGAGGGGACTCAGGCCAAAGTTCAATAAGTCCATAAATAACTTCAAGTCACGCCCCCCCCCCCCCCCCCCCCCCCCCCCCCCCCCCCCCGTGGGCACCAGTGTGGAAGAAGATTTAGATGGAATGGAGAGCTGGAAGTCTCTAAGAAGAATGAGAATAGCTGGAAGGTAAAGTTGAGATCAAACTGTGAGAGACCTTGAATATCCAATTGCAGTTGCTTGACTATTCTGAAAGCAAAAGAAGTCACTGTTGGGTTTCAGGTTATAATAGGGTTAAATGACAACGTACAACTGTCATGCTTCCAGAATTTTTTCTAGTTTCATCCCAGTTCTACACAGTTGCATGAGTCTGAGAAATGCAGATCACTTTGGTCACCCAGGTTTCGAACCAACTCAAATAGTCTAAACACAATCTGATTGGAGGCCAGGATCCTACAGCAAACCAAAGATATGTGTTGGGTAAATTTCAAAGTATTTCTATCTTAGAAGCATTAAAGAACACTTATCATATCTTTTTTGATTCCTACTCACTTTTTAGGACCCATCTCAATCCTTACTTCCCTAGGGCTCTTGCCCTCCCCTGAACTCCTTTAGCACTTCTTTGTGTATGTGGTCCTAACACTATCCTGCCTAGGACAGAAAAGTACCTCTTTGTGAAAATGTCCTGTTTCCCTGGAAAGATCTTGAGCTCCTACAGGAAAGAGTTCACAACTGAGACTTCTCTGCACCCTCATGGCATCTGGTTTGTTGGTAAAGATATTGACCCAATGATTTCATGGCCCCTCATTATATGGAGGTACCCACTTAGGAGACCACAGGCATGTTGGGAGCTGTGTGAGCTCTTGCCACACATTCACCTTTCTAGACTGAATAGCCCAGAAAGGGGTGAGGCTTAGTGATCTATTCCAGCCATACCTAGACTACAATGACCATTGTAACAAAAGCTAGAGTAACCAGCTCTTTCTGATCCTGATGCCACAAGGTTCCTGGCTCCCCATTATGCCTGCCTTCATGGGCTCAGGGCTGAATGCACTGGTCAGGAAGACAAAGCCCACAGTTCTGGCTGCCAGGCATCCAGTCCCGTTTTCCATGGCCTCTGTTGATCCTGGACCCAGCCATCAGGCTGGACTCAACAAATTCAGGATGAAAATAGGCCCTTGGCCGGGAAGGCTGGCTTTCCACAAAGTGCTCTTTCCCCCAACGGCCAAAGCAAACGCCGCCGGCTGGGGCTAAAAGCCAGCCAGCCAGCCGCTCCCGACCTCTGCCGGCCAGCACCAAGGAGGCCCAGAGTCAACAGTGCATGGACAGGTCTGTTATTTCATTCCTCCTCATTCCTCAAACATCAGATTTCCCTTCAGTGAATCTAAACAACCAAACAGAACTAAAGTCACTTCTAGCCTCTAGGAAAAAGTCAAAGATCTCCCATGGACCTCGATTGCTAAGGGTTGGCACAGCCCTCCCCCTTGGGGTACAGGAGCCCACAGACCACCTTCTACAACCTCTCTGATTAAATTGCTTTCCTCTATTCCCTTAGGGGAGAAGAGAAAGGTATGCAGGAATGAGCAATCAGCACCCCCTGTTCTCACAGGCTCACAGGCCAAGCTGAGAATCAAAACAAAATCCAACCAATCATTCCTTCTGAATTAAATAGACAGCCTCCCCACATCAAGAGAGAGCAGGTGCCAGGTTTTAGACACTAGCTAAGAGTGACATGGAGAGAGGAAGTGGAAGAGGGGGAAAGAAAACAAGGGAGGGAAAGGCCAGATAGAGACAAAGGGAAGAATTTTTTAATCTAAAAGTCAGAACTCTCAAAGAGTGACTTTCAGTTAATGAGTGAGAGAAAGGGAGTGGGAAGACCTTGGTAGTGGCAAAACTAGAAAATGGCACCACTTTGGGTATGAGATTTTCTTGTCTATAAGTGTAAAAATAAATCTCTCAAACTTCCTCTTTGATACTCAGATCCCCTCTAATAATAGTCATTTCCCAATAATAAGAGCTACCATGTAATTAATACCAACCAACTGGCTGGAAATGTTCTATTCCCAAACTGGTCACCAAAGTGCCCAGGGTTACATAGCCAACTCAGAAGGGTGCTGCAAGATATTTTAAATTTTTTGAAGGAAACATACCTCATGAATTACTACTATTAATTTTTTACACCTAGTTACTCAATAAACAGAAATGCTCCATATTTCTTTTGACTTAGTGGTTCAGTGAAAATAATTACTGAGACAATAAGAGTTCAGTTAACCAACATTGGGAACCTTTGCCATATGCATTACATGGATTACCTCATGTAATCCTTAGCATTATGAGATAGGTCTTAATTCTGTTTCTATTTCTTAGATAAAGAAACTAAACCTTCAAAATATTTAAAAATTTGCCCAAGGTTCCCAGCCAAGTGATGAGATGAGAACCTTATATGCGCAGGTTCCAGAAGCTATACTCTCAAATCATTCACAATACTGCTTTTCCAAAATTAACTTCACACCTATTACATGTATAGGCTGTAAAAAAATGCCTTGATAGGACAAATGACCTTTGTGTTATGGAAATAGTATTACTATTCTAGAAATCCAGAATTGATCAGTCTCTAAATCAACACACACCACAAGAGTCATAGGCAAAGGCATGCTGCTTAAAATTAAGAAACAAATACGAAACAGAAGCCAAATTTGAGGTTACTGTCAAGTTATTTCAACTGTTAAACTGCTTTTATTTGGAGAAGGGTGCCAGGGATTGAACCCAGGGACACTTGACCACTGAGCCACATCCCCAGGCCTAGTTTTTATTTTTTATTTAGAGACAGGGTCTCACTGAGTTGCTTAGCACCTTGCTTTTGCTGAGGCTGCCTTTGAACTCGTGATCCTCCTGCCTCAGCCTCCTGGGCCATTGGGATTACAGGTATGCACCACCGTGCCTAGCTATTCAGCTGGTTTTGAACTAATTCTTAGGGGACTTCCCATGCTTAGTATAATCCTAAATTTCAGTTATCCTTAACCACTAAGGTTCATGTTTTATGTTATGATGTAAGAAGAAACACCCTTTACCTAACTGAATATAAAATAACCCCAGCTATTATTGGTTCCCCTCAGGGAAATAAGCCTGAGGAAAAGGTCAACATATAGAGGACAGCAGTCAAAAGAACCACAGAGGAAGGGAGCCAGAGTCATGATAGAAATATGCCTTTCACCTGCCTAACCTCTGGGCTTCCCTGTTACATGATCCAGTAAATTCCATACTTCATTTTAGTCAATTTAAGTTGGGTTTTCCATAATTTGCAACCAAAACATCATTAGTAAGAGTTATGTTCCTAAAGAGTCCAGTACAATGCTTGGTATCCCCATCCAAAACAGCCCAGTTCCAATGGCTATCCCCACTGAAGATTATTCTGAACCATAAAACACAATTTGTTGCTGCATCCTTTTGTATACATAGGTCATTCTATGTAGCTTTACTGTGTAACATATCACAGTGG